GAGACAGACAGACAGACAGACAGACAGACAGACAGACAGACAGACAGACAGACAGACAGACAGACAGACAGACAGATGAAGGAAAATTATATAGGTTTCACGCCCCTATCAACACTGTTAGGTTATTTAAAAGGCGGGGCCTCCGAGATTAACGTCCTCCGAAAGGACAGGGTCAAGGAAGAAATTCGTGTAAAGTGCCATTCCCAAAGGACACAACGTCGGTCTGAGCGGACAGAGGAAGGGGGTATGATTATAGGTATCGAAGGGTAATCAGGGAGGCACTCATAGCTTAGAGGTTAAGGTGTTCTCCTCTCATTCAAAGGTCCCGAGTTCGAATCCGTGTAGCGACCGGGAATTTTCTGCTCTAAGCAATGTTCTGTCGTCTGCTTTCGTCTCCACTTTCTGCCCCAACCTCCTCACCTCCTTTACCCCCTCCTCTGGACACATGACTCTTTTTGCAGCATTTCTACTGAAACTCTTTGGCTCCTTCTTACTGCTGTCTTTCCGACACACCCCCTTATCTTCTGGTAGGAAAGATCTACACCTAGCCTTCTCGGACAAGGGCGAAAAATCTCGGAGATGCCATGTGCAAGATGCGCACGTCAAAGATCCCTTGGTGGTTTAAATTCGATAAAAGTAGGCTTCGGCCGCCACCTGGGCAAAATTCAGAATTTTCTACCAATTGAAAATGTTAAATGTGTCCCGCGCGCTCATATGACCTAATGCAGTTGCGAGCGCCGTAAAACACTTAGCCTACCCAAAAAAAGGGTAATAATCGGATACATTATAATAATGTGGGACAAAAACGGGTAAAATCGCGGCTGAAGAAAGTGGGGCGAAAACTGATGCACCGGTCGGGGATAATTTGGTCAAACAAAGGATTTGGGTCTTTTTTAAACCATCACTTTCTGGGTGGACTTTAAGCACCAATTCAACCTGCTTGTTGTTTCTAAAACATTGATTTACCCTAGTTCCGTCTCTCTTTCACACTCGTTCGTTCAAAAATGTACTCCCTCTTTGTCTTACATAAATATGATGCAAGTTCTCTCTCTCTCTTTCTCTCTCTGTCTCTCTCTCTCTCTCTTTCTTTCTCTTTCTCTCTCTCTAACACACACACACA